GTCTCACATACTTTGGACATGTTATCAGGAGGGACCAGTCCCTGGAGAAGGACATCATGCTTGGCAAAGTAGAGGGTCAGCGAAAAAGAGGAAGATCCTCAACAAGATGGGTTGACACAGTGGCTACAACACGGAGCTCAGTCACAACAATGATTATGAGGATAGCACAGGACCAGGCAGTGTTTTGGTCTATTGTGCATAGCGCTGCTATGAGTTGAACTGACTCGGCGGCACCTAACAAGAACAACTCTTGTCACTACTCTTTGACATGATTAACTCTTCTACACTAGTTTTCTGATCTGAGAAACAATTTCTCTTACTAAAGGGTTTGAAATCAAGATTTATACCCCAAAACACTGGCTCCACATTAATGTGGAGGAATTACTATGTTTTTTTTAAATTTTGCTTTGGATATTTGGAGGTTTTAACTCCTTTGATAGCTAAAAAAAAAAAAGAAAAAAGCTGGGCTTCGTACTCTTTATTGGAAAGTTTAACAGCTATGATGATGCCAGCATTTTCCTCATTATTCTAATGGAGTTCCCCAACGACAGCCAGTGTTTGACCAGTTAGTATACTGTATGGAAGCAGATAAACCCCAACTTTGACTACTGTGAAGGGAGAAGTCACAGCAGGCCTCCAGGGGAGTGAGCAAGAACCACAGTTCTCCTCTCCACGACCAGCAGCTAATCATCCCCAGGGAATAAAAGGCCTCCATCCCTACCTGGAAATTATATTTCAATATAGTAAAATATTAATTGCTTCCCAGTGGGATTCCTTTCAATTGCAAGGACCTCAAATACATTTAAACTAGAGTCTCCTTTATAAAAACCCAACACACACACAACTTTTAGGAACAGACAGACTGTTTAAAGGGAGGCATACTTTAACAATTTACATTTTTTGTCACCATTAATCATTGATATTACAGTAAACCTGGACAGGAGTAAACTCCAGTATGGTAAATCTAACATTAGCCCACAGTCCTCACTGCCCAGGGAAATCTGATTGCATCTTGTCATTAGTAAGTGAACACCATTTTCCCCCAGAGACAGTCCGACCGCTGATCGATGTCTGTACTCAGTCTGAATCTGTCTCTGGCTCCTACCTTCCAAAGTGCTGCTTCATTTGTTTGCACGCGTAGTAGTTTCCGTCTCTCAGGCTCTGCATCTTCATAACTTCAGAAAACGTTCCCTCTCCTATTTTGCCAATTGTTTTATAGCCTATAAACAAAAATAATCATATAATAAAATGTTATTTATGCATAGGCTTGGCACTCACTTTCAGGAAAAAAAAATTTTATCTGTAAGATAATTTAACAATACAAGTAGTCTCCAACGTGATGTATTGGAGTTATGACGAATTGCACTGACAGCTGTCTTGTGTGTGTGTGCATCTTATTGTTAGGCATATGTACTACATACAGTGTTGCAGCACGTACTTTGCTGATGTTATCATTCTCAGATGTGCACTCACAGATGTTCAAAGATTGGATTTATGATACTGATAACAAAGGGCAATAATAATCAAAAGTTAAAAAAAAGAAGTATTTGACTTACATTGAAATGGAACCCCGTCCTAAGTTAAGGACTGCCTGTACATTAAGAATTCTTTCTCCTAAAGTTCAGTGTTTCCTTCATTTTAGGAGAAGCTGAACTGCTGGACTATGTGTTGGCAACAAAGTCCCATTTCCTCCCAGTCTATGCACTTCCTCATATACCAGGGGCAGAAAGCCTGGGAACCACATTGCCCAAAATCCCAGCCTGCAATGACAGACACAGCTACCCAACCAGCTTGGGGAAGCAGAAGAGCACAGAGGCCAGGACTGCGTGGGCAGGAGCTGGGCCTGGCATTTGGCAGATCCTGAAAGTCACCCTCTGGTGCTATAGTTGGCCCAGGTGATCTGTGGCAATTCCTGGAATTCTTGTATTTCCTGATTTTCTGAAAGCTGTTGGTAGCTTTCCCTGGCTCTGTCACTGCCACCACCACCACCCCAACACTGATAACAATTCTGTAAGCCTCTAATTCCCTATATTAAACCCCTTCCTGTTTGAAATACTTAGAGTAGTTTCTGTTTTCCTGACGGAATCTCGACTGATACAGACATGGGTACCCTGAAGAAGGGGGCTGCCGTTGACACAAAAACCTAAAGTAATGGAGTGAGTTGATTACAACTGACTGCCTTTAGCAAAATATTTCAAGAAAAAGATAAGGTCAGGTGAGAATTGCTGCTTTTCAAGCAGAAACGGAAAGGAATGAGGAAAGTCCAGTGAGCGAACATCTCACCGGGTTGGAAAAGCTACTGCAGCCCAAATAATAGAAGGATGTTGTGCGCTGTCAAGTCCACTCCAACTCATAGAGACCCTGCAGGACAGAATAGGGTCCCATAGGGTTTCCTAGGCTGAAATCTTTACGGGAGCAGATCACTAGGTTGTTTTCTCCTATTGAGCCACTGGTAGGTTTGAACCGCCAACCTTTCGGTTACCAGGCGAATGCTTAACCATTGCACCACCAGGGCTCCATAACAGAAGGATAAGACCGTAAAAAACCTCAGCAGAGAACAACCTGTGGGACAAATGATAGCCCAGCAGCAAAGATCCCACAGAGACGGGCACATTCCCACCAGTCATTTGTTTCAGAGCCTCAAGGAAGCACCTTGCAAGTGGAGACAGAAAAGCACAAGGACAAGGCCACAAGGAAAAAAGGCATGCCTAAGACCATGACGAGAAATGAATTTGAGTGTGGTGATTAGTAGCCAGTACTGACGAAAGGCAAAAGATCAGACACCTATTAAATTTCTGGTGTGTTGCTACAGAAGCACGCCTGGACTGAAAAAGCCCTTCTTCACCTTTGGGCCTGAAATCTGGTCAGCAGGAAGCAGGCTTCAAAGCCACACGGCCCCACAGGAGAACATCCTCCCAACACCCTCTCTAGAGATGGCACATTGTGAGCGCCTGGTTTGAATTCTGACTTGAATAAACCAACGTAAAAAGGTACTAATTTTTTAGAAGTTACCATAGTTACATTAAAAAATTTTTCTAAATTCTTATCTGTTACCAAGATAACACTGAAGTATTTCCAGGTGAAATGATATGATGTTTAAGATAGGCTTAAAATACTCATATACATTCCCACTCACTATTATACTTGCTAAAAGTATAAACTGGTATAGTCTTTATGGAGGGCAATTTGACAATATCTATTAAATCTTTGAAACATGCCTACTCTTTGACCCAGCAATTCCAATTCTAGAATTTATCCTGTAAAAAATACTTGCTCAAATGTATATAATATGAGGATGTTCAGTGTAGAATTATTTAATAGGGAAAAACTGGTAGCCCAAATGCCTACCAATAGAGAACTGGATAAATCAACATGCAAAACTCAACTGGGTCTCTATGTAACAGCAATGAGCAATCTGAAAAGGAAATTAAGAAAATAATTCTATTTACAATGGCAACTAAAAGAATAAAATACCTAGTAATAAATTTAACTAGAGATGTGGACTTGTACACTAAAAACTAGAAAACATACTGAAAGAAAAAAAAATTACTGAAGGAAATTAAAGAAGACCTATCATGGATGGAAAGACATTTTGTGTGCATGGATTATAAGACTTAATGTTGTTAAGATGTCAATACTACCCAAAACAATCTACAGATTCAACACAATCCCTAACAAAATTCTTGCAGCCTTCTTTGTAGAAATGGAAAAGCCAATCCTCAAATTATATGGAATTGCAAGGGACCCTGAATAGCCAAAGTAATCTTGAGAAAGAAAAGTAGAAGACGCCTCACACTTCCCAATTTTAAAATGAATTATGAAGCTACAGTAATCAAAACAGTCTGGTACTGGTAAAATGATAAAACACACAGATCAATGGAATAGAATTGAGAGACCAGAAATAAACCTGCACATCTATGGTCAACTGATTTTCGACCAGGGTGCTAAGTCCATTCAATGGGAAAGAACAGTCTCTTCATTGAATGGTGCTGGGCCTACTGGACTTCCACATGCAAAAGAATGACGTTGAACCCACACCTCATATCATATATGAAAATTAACTCAAAATGGATCAAGGCCCTAAATGTAAGAACTAAAATCATAAAATTTAGAATATAACACAGGCATAATGCTCCAAGACCTAGTTTTCAACACATGGATTCTTAGATATGACATCAAAAGACAAGCAAACAAAAGACAAGACAAATAAACTGGACTTCATCAAAATTAAAAACTTTTGTGCAACAAAGTACTTTATCAACAATGTGAAGAGACAACCTACAGAATGGGAGAAAATATTTGGGAACCATATATCTGATAAGGGTTTAATATCCAGAATATATTTTTAAAAAAACTCCTACAACTCAAAAATAAAAAGACAATACAACCCAATCAAAAAATGAGCTAAGAAGAGAAACAAAGAAAACGTCAGCACCACACACACACAAAAAAACACACTACAAAATGACAGCAATAAACTCAAACCTATCAATAATTATGCTGAATGTAAATGGCCTAAATGCACCCATAAAGAGACAGAGTGACAGACTGAAAAAAAAGGATGCATCAGTATGCTGTCTACAAGAGACACACCTTAGAAACAAAAACATAAATTTATTAAAAATCAAAGGATGGAAGAAAATACATCAAGCAAACAGCTACCAAAAAAGAGCAGAAGTGGCAATAGTAATCTCAGATAAAATAGACTTTAAAACAAAATCCACAATAAAAGACAAAGAAGGGCACTATATAACGATTAAAGGGATGATCCGTCATGAAGACATAACCATAATAAACATCTATACACCCAATGAAAGGGTTCCAAAATACATAAAACAAACTCTAACAGCACTGAAAAGAGAAATTAACAGTTTCACAATAATAGCAGGAGGCTTCAACATACCACTCTCAGTAAAGGAAAGAACAGCTAAAAAGAAACTCAACAAAGATACAGAAGAACTAAGGGACACAATCAGCCAACTTGACCTCATAGACATATACAGAACACTCCACCCAACAGCTGCAAAGTACACATTCTTTTCCAATGCACGTGGAACGTTCTCCAGAATGGACCACATCCTAGGCCACAGAGCAACCCTCAAGAAAATCCAAAACGTTGAAATAATGCAAAGTATGTTCTCTGACCACAATGCAATCAAAGTAGAAATTAACAACAGGAAGAACAAGGAAAAAAAAATCAATTACATGGAAACTGAATAACACTCTGCTTAAAAACCACTGAGTAATAGAAGAAATCAGAGATGGAATAAAAAAATTCCTAGAATCAAACGAGAATGAAAACAGATCATACCAAAACCTTTGAGATACAGCAAAGGCAGTCCTCAGAGGTCAATTTACAGCAATAGATGCACACATCAAAAAAGAAGAAAGGAGAATTATCTTAGGTGAAGGGAAGAAGAGCACACACTACAGGGGAAGTCAGCGCAACTGGACTAAACCCAAGCTAAGAAGTTTCCTGAATACAACCAAACACTTTGCAGGACAGAGTAGCAGGGGTAGGGGTCTGGGGACCATGCTTTCAGGGGACATCTAGGTCAACTGGCATAACAAAGTTTTTTAAGAAAATGTTCTGCATCCCAC